TGGATCTTTAATAGTGAGATATTCCATTTTCAGGCCCTCATCAAGGTGATGGCGTAGGAATATCATTGCTTTGGCACGGTCATGGTTTGATGCCTGATTTTTATCCGTGATGGTGTCTGCCAGACCCATCGCATCAAGATGAATTTCAACATCAAGCACCCAAGACATGTAGCTTTTGCCAGATATATCCAGGGTTACAAATTCAAGTTAAGAAAGATTTGACATTATTTAAGAAAAGATAGTTCTTACCTCTAATACTTTCAAAGTATTTGCTCGAGATGTCAGAGTCTCGTGCTGATAACGTGTTATAAAATAAAGACTATAAAGTAAAGACAAGTATAAAGAGAAACTGATATATTATTCGAATTCAAACTGATGTACATAATGAACTGAAATCTCTTCTATTTATAGAAGAAAGGAAGCTGTTGTGTAAGCTGCTACTATACCAGATATGGATAATCTTCTACTGAGAGTAATGTTTATCCATAACGGAGTACTGAAAGGATAAGCTTATTATACCCGGTATGGATAATCTTCTACTGGAGGTAATGTTTATCCATAACTGGGTACTGAAAGGATAAGCTTATTATACCCGGTATGGATAATCTTCTACCGGGGGTAATGTTTATCCATAACTGGGTACTGAAAGGATAAGCTTATTATACCCGGTATGGATAATCTTCTACTGGGAATAATATTTATCCATAACCGGATACTGAAGTGATAAGCTTCTTCAGGAAGCTTATTTCTAATAGAGTACTAACTAGATAAACATATTTACGGTGGAGTCCCATATGGATAAGCTTCTTCAAGAAGCTTATTTATTACGGAGTACTAAATAAACATCCATAATATAATATATTTATAACAATTTGGCACTTGTTTTCAAGTTTTCCGACTCGTACAAGCTCGATTAATTGGTCGGTTGTCCACTAGTATTTCTTTTTCCTCCTGCGTGGCACAACTACTGTTACAATTAGTTTGGTAGGATATATTAGGGAAATAATATATGCATTAGCTTGAATATTATTAATTCTCTATTTGGTACTAGTATTTTTTTATTTTATGTATAACTAATACCTGTATTAATTATACACCATTTAAGTGTTTTTTTTGTCTTTTTTTTTTGTAGTACATAATATTTGATTTTTTAAATATCAAGAAGGAATTAACTTCTTCATTCCAAAGTTGCCTTTGAAGTAAAGAGAGCTAGGAGTAGTTTATTATATTTTCAATGAACAAATTAAAATTAATATGGTCAATTTTATTATTAATTAATGTTAAAAGGTGAATTCCTTAATATGTCTGAAAAGTGCCAAAAAATCATATAAAGTGGACTTAAGAAGTACTATTTTTGTACATAGCAAATCATGGTGTTAATTAGCAATGTCATAATTTTTAATACATGAATATACATGTCTAAAAACAGAATTCCGCTTTCAAAACCTTTTCCAAACTTTTTTCCAGGCCATCACAGTGTATTTTTGTAAGTAAATAAATTTTAAAAAAAATCATGCCATGTATATTATTTTTATACAACAAACCAAATAATCCATAAAAAATAATCTATGTATAACTAATCCTCCTATTATTAATCCAATCAAACCGTATTCAGTATTATTCTAAGTGGGCGTTTGGACATAAGAATTGTAAAATTTCGAAAAAAAGTGAAAATCTTTTTCAATTGAAAATGATATTTGAAAATTAGGGTTGTGTTTGGACATGAATATAATTTTGGTTTGTTTTTGAAGTTTTGTGAGTGATCTGTTGAAAATTTTGAAATACAATTTTTTGGAATTTTTCAAATTTTCGAAAAATTTCAAAATTCATTTTCAAGTGAAAATTGGAAATTTTATAGCCAAACACTAATTTCGAAAAAATATGAAAATTTTTCGAAAAAAGTGAAATTTTTTTGTTGGCCAAATGGGCTCTTATATTATACGTCCAACCAAATAACCCCTTAAAGTTTTTGAAATATGTAACCATACCTACCACCATTTTTCAAGTTTTGAAATCCTTAATCACACCTACCACGTTGCCCATCTATACTATACTTCAATTTGAGGCCAGTGCATCACATGATAAACCCGAATTCCAAGTCCTAACCACGTGAGCAACTTGTTTTGAATTTAGATTATCAACAACACGAACAAAAAACAATGCTAATTATACTATAGGAATGTCCACAAGAGTAACAAAAATTCCTTGGTACAAGATAGTGATGAATAATAAAACCACCAAAAATTAACTTTCTGCACGTTTTGTACAAAATATTGAATTTTCCTTTCCCAATAAAGTAGCAACCCTAATTTCTTTACCACAACTTAGACAATTAGTATCTTACAAATTAATTTATTATATCTAGGAGCTATAATTAATCAAGATTATATACCTATAACTAATAATCAATTAATCTAGATGACTATTTAATTACAAGTGGATTTTCATAAGCTAAAATTTAATTAATTTTTTGCTATTCTGTTCAGTACTCATTTGCTATAAATAAGTGGACAGGATAAGACACTTCTTGCTCAAAAACGAATACAATTAGGTAAACACAAGAAAGCATGGCTGTTCACAAAGTTGGTTTCCTTTCTCTTCTCCTTTTATTTGGTGAGGCTTTACTCCTTGTTTGGATGGTTGTTACCTATTCTGTCAGTGTTGTTATTTTAAATAAAAATATTTGTTTTGATTGTTACTTAAATTAAATTTTATTGTATCGTATCGTTAAATTCGTCGTTACGTAAACATAAAAAGTGTCACTTTATGGAACGGCGAATTTGGTGAGGTGGCGTCGTTACCTTCCTTGTTTTTTTATCATCTTCCACTTTCTTATTATTAAATGGTCATATTTTATCATTTACCCTTCTTTTTTTGTATAATAATTCTACTTCGTATCCTATTTTTTCTTAGTAATATTGCAAGTTTATTCTTCATACTGTTGGTGCATGACATCATGAAACGACGACAAACGACACAATTTATTCAAATGTTGTATTCATCAAACAATATAATACAATTGCAATGCAGTACAATATAATATACGATACATTATGAAACGACATGCATGTAACAACAATCCAAACAAGATGTTAATCTTTGATATACTTTTACTTTAAACCAGTATTATATATATGCTTGTATTTTGAACTCTCTTTCCCATCTTAAAAAAAGCTGTTGAATGCTGAGTTAATTAATTTGGTTATTTTTGCAGGAACTTTTCTACTTTTAAGTGAGGTAGATTATGCAGATGCCAAGGCTTGTACCCGAAATTGTAATCCAAGAATTCGCTATGGGAGATGTCCAAAATCAGGAAATAAGAAGTTTAACGTAGGATGCACCAACTGTTGTGCAGGATCCCTAGGTTGCAACTATTACAGTGCTAATGGAACTTTTGTATGTGAAGGAGAGTCTGAGACTAAAGTCGAAACTATAGAGACTGATGTCGAAACTATAGAGACTGAAGTCGAAACTATGGTCGAATCAAATAAGGTTTGTCCCCGTAATTGTGATCCGAAAATTCGTTACGGGAGATGTCCAAAATCAGGAAATAAGAAATTTAATGTAGGATGTACCAACTGTTGCGCAGCCAAAAAGGGTTGCAACTATTTCAGTGCCAATGGAACTTTTGTATGTGAAGGAGAGACTGAGACTAAGGTCGAAACTATAGAGACTGAAGTCGAAACTATGGTCGAATTAAATAAGGTTTGTCCCTTCAATTGTGATGGGAGGATTTCTTATTCGGTATGCGGAAATAAAAAGAGTAGTGGTAGAATATGCACCAATTGTTGCGCAGCCAGAAAGGGTTGCAACTATTTCAGTGCCGATGGAACTTTTGTTTGTAAAGGAGAGTCTGTAGTCGAAAGTATGATAGAAGCTGTTAAGCCTTGTCGACGTAATTGTGATGGGAGAATTTCCTATTCGGTATGCGGAAATAAAAAGAGTAGCGGTCGAATATGCACCAATTGTTGCGCAGGCAAAAAAGGTTGCAACTATTTCAGTGCCGATGGAACTTTTGTATGTGAAGGAGAGTCTGGAGTCGAGAGTATATGATAGAAGGTTGTAAACTCTATGGTTTTGATGGATCTTTACTTTGTACCGGTGGGGATCAGCTAGAAACCTATTAATCCTCATAAGGATAGCTGTATTTTCTTTTTCCAGTTTGTACTCTCTAAATAAATGCATGAGGGTATGCCCTAAGGTGTATTGTGTGATGTGGCAGTGGATTTTTCCAATTTCCACTGTCTGTACTAGGTTAATTTTCAAGAGCCTAATGAATGGAGTACTCTTTTATTTTACTAATTAAGTTTAATTTTATGCAATGATGATCTAAATAATATAATTACAGCGGAATATTTGTATTACATATAATTGATAATCTAATTAAAATGGTACTCCCTCCGTCCAACAAATCGGGAGGACGGGAGTAATTAAAATGTTATGATAAGTTAAATTATACTGACTTACGAGAGTATTTTATAGATTTTATTTTTCGCATCTTCAAAAGAAATAGTATTATCTATATATGATCAAGTCTATTAGCTTATTGCTGGGAGTTTCTTGTTCTCTTATTTTCTTTAGTTCAATAATCTACCTTTAAATAGGGCCATAGGTCGACTCTTTTCACTGATTCATCCCTTTTATTTTATATGATAGTGTTTGATTGGAGTACGAAATTTAAAAAAGGACTTTTGACACATATTTAACTCAATATGTGCAACATATCAAAAGTATTTTGAATCTGGTAATTTTCAATATGATCATGTCATTCGAGTAGAGTATATCAGGTAAGGGTACAAAATGAAAATGTTAAAATTAAAGAATTTTTAGGTATAATGCATAAAATTGAAGAAAGTGTGTCCTATAAAATAGAATTGAGGTAATACAATATTAATATTGAAAGATAAAATATATGAAGGAGAGGGATAAGCTAAGTATAATATCTCAAAGCTGGCGCAAATTGTTAGATTTCCCCAAATATCTCCCCAGTAAAGTAGCGCGCACACGAATGATAGCGGCGGTTGAATTTCTTGAGAATTTTTCGAAAAAAATAATTTCTAAAAACATATGCAAGCAATTAAACCGTGGCGGTGTTGGGGCTGAGACGACCGCGAAGAGTGGAAGCTTTTTATTCAGGCTTTGATTTGGGAAAATTGTGAAGAAGGAAACTAGAATTTTAGTAAGAAAATTTGGGACATAACTGCTTATCCGTAAAACGGTACAATTAAATTTATACGTGGTTTATAGACAAGTAAATTAATTTGATTATGAAATAATAGATGAATTGGACAAAAATATAATACTTAGCTTTGAGATGAAGATAAAATAGCAGAAACAGTAATTCCGGGAGCAGGGCTTCCAGGGACAATAGCAACGATATCAGTAAACAAGAAGATAAAATTATATTAATCTTTGAATAAAGTGTAGCGTATGTTTGTAAGAAAATTCGTGTCCTTTACAATGATAATAGAGCTCCATATTTATAGCTCTACCTGGGGAATAAGGTCTTAGGATCAAGCCCTTCTTTAACGTCAATTATGAGGGCCATTGAAGAATGTGTAACAGCAGACAGTGAATGTCATATTCCTTCTAACGAGCCGTGTACTTAATGTTGTAGAATATTTCTCATTAAATGCTATCGGGTGGCTGGCATTTATTTCGCCTTTATGAGTATCATTCTCTCTGGTAACAGACGGGATCGTTGCTTTCGGATTCAACTATCTTTTGTATTCGGCTTCACGTATCACTTACTCATGCGATCATTTAATATAAACATATTTTACCCTATACAGATAGTCCCCCTGCTTTCTGGCGGCATAACTTTTTGTCACCGAAAAGTTGGTAGAAACACCTTTTTGGGGGGAAAATTTACTGACTCCCTTTGTAAAATTTCTGACGGTTGATTAGATGCATGTCTATTCACATTTAATACCCCGAACACACCCCACAATTTAGCATTACTTTTACCGGTTATAGAGGTAATTATGGCCACGATTTTAGCCGCCTATACATTTACTTATATGCATCAACCTCCTTCATTTACATTTCACAATACTCTAAATTTTCTCAAACTTTCTTTACTCAACTCATACTTCGTCTTTAACCTTTGTTTAACTTTCTTCTTTGAGAGTAAACTCTTATTCTGATAAAAAATAACCTCTTTTTCTAGAAACTCTAGTTCTTCAAAGAACAAAGGTAAAGTTGATGGTGCTGCTCCCTCTACGGTGAGTACCATCATCCCAAAGAATCTAGTTACTACCAAAGATTTTGAAGAGAAGTATCCTTCTGCTCACTCTTGTACGTGGGCTGTTAGCATATACCCTTCTTTCATCAGTCCTTCCAGTATCCCTGCTGTGAAGGAAGATTGCCACTGTCAAAATTTGGACATTATTGCTCCTGACCTGGTGTAACGGATAACCCTACCCAAAAAGGGTTACATATTTTTATCCCTTCACTTTAGGAGCGTTTTCTTTGAGTGGAGATCTTGAATCCGTCATCATGGTGTTCTGACTCCGTTATCATGTGTGCTTGGCACAAGTAAGTCCTTCTGTATGGAGGACAAACGCTTGTCTTCAGCGCCTGTGCTAGGAGACAAGAGACGGGCTATCCCTAGATTGAGTGATGAACCTCTACTCTCCCAAGATCTTTCGCGGGGGAATGATAAATTTCAACAAGCGTGGACACCATGCACTGCTATCCAGCATTGATGATGACAACGACCATGGGTGGATGGAACAGTTCGTTTCAGTCGCCACCAGTGACATCATCCTGGCCAAGGTTCCAGCCTTTCCAGAATTATGGAACCGCACTCGTAAGTCTACCATTATTTTTTTCTTCCATTAAAGATCATTCCATATTGTTATTGACTCTTCTTCTTTTACTTATTTCAGCGACACGGTGGGTTCCACCTAGGGTTGAAGGCTTGGACCAGTGGGTCCAGAAAAGTTTGGACGTTACTACGCCCGAAACCCGTACATGAAAAGAACTGTCCCTCAAATACAGGTGGAAGGCCAAAAATCATGGTAAGTCGAACTCATCTTCTTTTTACCTTTTCATATAAGGGAGTTGTTTGACCCTTCTCCCCTATTTAATTCAGGTCTACCCCAGGGCTCAGTTGTCATCCCCGAGGAGGATGTTTTGGCTAATCCTGCTAATGCAGCGAGGCAGCTGCAGGAGGCTTTTATACAGACAGGTGTCTTCGGGCTTACTTCTGGTGCGAGTGATTCTTCTCGGAGCCCCTGGCTGGAGAACAAACAACCAATGAAAAGACGTTCCTCTGCGGTTGGACGAAATAATAAGAGGGCGAAGAATGCCACTCCCTAGTCATATCCGGAAGTTGAGGTGATGAGCCCCCTATCCCAGCTGGCCATAGACACCGTGATGATTGACAATGATGGGGAAGCCATCGAGGAGGGGGCTTCTCTACATAGAAGATGACGACCTTCCACAACTCAATAGACTGCTCAATTTCTTGAGTTAGTTACACCAACCGAGGATGATGCCTCAGCGCTCTGAGGGGAGTTTGATATGGTGGAAAATGCCAAATCCCATTTCCGAATCCTAGTCACAGTGCCCAGTACCGTGAGGCTGAGTACAGGATCCCTGCCGTCTTTGGTTGACGAGCAACCAACAACCAGCACTGCGTTTGCTGCAATCATTTCTCATCTTTCAACGCTATCAGCTTCATCTCATTCTTCACCAACTCTTCCTTTACCACTAGCAACTGCTACATCATTTCCAGCAGCCGCATTTGTCTGAGAAGATGATTTTCCTCTCCCCTAGTCCCCAATTCATGGGAGCTTGGGGCAAATTACGCCGCTCTCTCAAAAGATCCGCAAAGGAGGAGGAGCATTACTCTCTCAGTCTCTAACAAATGAAATCTATTGTCCTGGCTGGTAGAACTTGCTAACTATCTGAAGCCTTTGGCTTCAGAAAAAGATAGGGAAGAGAAACAAGCTCTCTCGTGAGAGTATTTGTTGAATAATGCTATGTATAATGCCGCAATGATATATTCTTCGTTTCCTTCATTATCTCTTCTATTTGATAAAATAGTATTTTGAGTTTGCCTTTTTGTTTTGCAGACCAATTTTCTTGCTTCCGAGGGACTCCAAAGTTTGATTCGAGATAAAGAGGAACTTACCTCCGAAGGGGATTAATTTTTGGCCGAGCGGGACCAAACTGCTGCTCGCCTCTCAAAACTGGAAGCTAAAGTTGTTGAGGATATTGTGTTGGAGGCTCGGGTGTAGAAAAACGAGCAATAAGTAGAGACCTTTAGCAAAGTGATCTCCCCGCTCAGGGTTCAATTTGAAGAGGATAGGGCCAAATGGGATAAAGTTCATAGTGCCGTTCTTGCTGCATCCTATCGCGAGGCTGCCTCCGCTGAAAGATTAAATAATTTGGAGGCAACCTTGAACTCCCAAACTGAGGAGCTTACTGCTGCCGGGGTGAAATATTCCCAATTGGAGGAGAAGTATGAGAAGATCATTGAGCATAATAGACTTTTAGCTCCATTGACCGAGATCTTGATGTTAGCCTCCAGTCCATTATATCCGCGTGGGAAAATCTCTTTGTCAAGGTTGACCAACTTAAAGAAGAACTCAAATGCCAAGCGGCCTCCCTAGTTGTTGAAAAAGCATATGTTATGTACAACATGATGAGAAAAACCTTGGAAGAGGCCAAAGCGGGTGTCATTGACTTTGATCACAAAATTGCTAAAGCCCGTGAGCTAGAGTCAACTGCTAAAAGGGGTCTTCGAGCCAGGCCCGATGCTTCCGATTCTTCTGGTTCTGCTTCCGAATTCTGGGGAACTGAAGAGGAACCGAAAGGCAATAATTTTGAAGGTCAAAATGATGAAGGATAAGACATCGAACCGGCGACGGATCTACCCACTTCTCCTGGGGGAGTGGATACTTCTCTTCCTCTGGGTTCCGGAGATGCAGTAACTTAGCTTTTGATTTTTTTTCCAACTTTTGTACTTGTGCTGTTTGCCACATTCATTATAAATAAAAATACATTTTGCTCAAGTATTGGATAAGTTTTCCTTTCTACGTACTTTCCTTTTAATATTTATGCAAGTTTAATCTTTGCGTCCTTTTTCGTTTAACTATTTCGCACAAGTTTTACTGTTTGCGTCTGATCATGCAATGCTTTGGTTGTATTTTTTCCCAAAAGCATTTGAATTTCGGTCAATAGTTCTTCCAAAATCAACCCTTTATCGTGAGGATTTTCATAAGAGAGGACCCTCTTATATTTACGGTGCTCTTGAAGAGGACGTCTCGTGTTCTTTACTACACGAATA